TTTCTATTCTTTTAATGACCTTTCTGCTATTCTTTCAGAACCGGAACAAATTCTACCTCTTCTGGGAGATCAAAATAGAAAAAGCCAGGGACTGTGTTAATCTTTATAACATAAGGGTCTAGGACAGTGCCTGGCATATTGGAGTCGTGAAAATAGTGTGTGGTTTGAACTCTGGTAACCTGGGTAAAACAATGAAAGCCTCAGGACCATTTAGGTCTGTGGAGGAGAGGCAGTTTGACTTGAACCAACAAGGGGCGCTGTGGGATTAACCCTGGGGATGGCTGCTCCCAGCTGGGTAAGCCCCAAGGAATTACAAGCCTGAGGGTTGAGCCTTTTGCTCACTGTTGGGGACTCAGTATATGTGTCCCCCTGAGCAGGGCCATCAGTGGAGTCATAGGAGATAATGTTTCCAGCAGAAGCCCGTCCTGAGTTTCTTGAATTTTCTCGAGTGTATGCTGGTCTTAAAATAAGCAGCTTGGTTCTGCACTCTCCAGAGTCTTCTCTAGAGCCCCAAATACATTGTCCAGGGTAGCATATTTGCTCCTCTCTGGGCTCCAGATTGAGGGCGAGGCTGATTTTAACTGTGGCTGTTGTTCATTGTGCAGTTCACAGTGGCAGAGAAAGATCGGGAAGTGAAACCAAACCAAAGCCTACAGGTCTTGGCATTTTGAGGCTCTATTAAAAAGCAATTTTATGGTTATTATCATTAAAGAGTCCCTGGGGATCCCATCTTGAAGCAAACTCACACTTTATCTTCAAGCTTCTCTCAATACATTCCTCAAACCCTTAGGAAGACACAGACTAAGGTACAAACTGAATCTAACGCTGAAAACCAAGAGTGACGATTAATGGACTACCGGATACTACAAGGTATTTCCATCAGTTAGGATCCTATCGAGCCAAAGATGAAAATCTTACAAAACAGCTACATTTCAGTTCAAGAAAGAAAGCATATGGAGACAAAAGCAATGCTCAGCCCCACTCGACTGCCAGCTTTCTGTCTCAAATATGTGACATCTGTGCCAACCAGACAACCTAGAGGCTCCACCTCTATTGCAAAGAAAGGAGTTCTTCAGAAAACCCAGGAGAAAATGTACACTTCCTTTGTGCCACCACCCACCCAAATGTTTGCCAAAATGTCCCTCAGATTCATCTCTTCCTCTATCTCTGCACCACCTTCTTTAGATCCACCATCTCTCCTTGTCTTGTCTCATTGCTTTCAAGTCATTTTCAACTCACCTTCTGAAGAAAGCTCCATATAACAGAAAATGGTCAATATCACAATCTTTAATGGCACTCTCCACTGATTAAGTAATACAGAAAGGATAGAGAACAAAATCCTCACTCTGGCTCCCAAGACCCTTCACCATCTGGCCCAACTCCAGGCTCAGGGTCTTCCTACCCTCTCCCCCAGTTCATCATCCTCTACAACATCCCACCAAAGGACTGACATGCCACGGACATGATCTGATAATTCACATTACCGAAACTTTGAAAGATCTAGTTACTCAACTAGAAATATTCCTTCCTCTTTTTACCTCAGGAAAACTCAACATCTCTTCAACCTTCAAGATGAAGATTAAAGAAACCCTCAAGTTCTGTTGGGTGTATTACTATTAGGCATAATGCTGCTTAGAAAAGTGCTAGGTACACACTTGCTTGTGGCAATGACAGCATTAGCTGGCAGAAATCTTCAGGCTCACTGCAGGAGAATGCTAGGCACTGAGACCAGAGATGGGCAAGGTGAGACTGTCCCTGGCAGGTCAGCCAGAGGGTGTTCACAGCTGTGTAAGTCCCCTAACAATGCTAAGTCACCAATATCGGGGGTTGGGCACTGTGGAGACACAGGAGCTCTGGACCTGACAGGGTCTTCTGCACATAGGCCTGTGTTTAGTCCCAGCATTTGCTATCTCCCAAGCCCTATGGCAAACTCAGAGGTCCCTTCCCTTCAACTTCCTCTGTCAACAGGCTCTTGGATCAGGCTCCTGAGTCAGTGCTCAAGGAGGAGCTGGGATAGCTGGTGGGTGGGAACACATTTTCATGAACAGCTTTCCTGAGGCCGATGGGAAGAAGGTAAGAGAAGCCTGAGGCAGGCTAACTGTAGCTGTGGGGTCTCAGGAGGACAGAGTCCACCACAGCCTGGACGTATTTCCTCCTTATGCTCTTCTCTCACTACACAGGTAGGGATGGACTTCAGAGACCCAGGGGCAGTTCCCCAATCTGCATCCATTCTTTCTGGTTCTGACCACCAGTCATCTTAAACTTGACCCCTGCTCCATCACCTGCAAGTGTCCATGTTCCCAGATCCCCTCTCCCAGGCTGTGCTCACTCAGCTGCCTTCCCTCTCTGCATCCCTGGGTAAGTCTGCCAGACTCTCCTGCATCCTGAGCAATGGCTTCAATGTTGGTGACTTAAACATTTTCTGATACCAGCAGAAGCCGGGGAGCCCACCATAGTATCTCCTCTACTTTCAGTCAGATTCAAATAAGCACCAGGGGTCTGGGGCCTTAATCACTTCTCTGGATCTAAACACATATTGAGTAATTTGAGTATTTTGCTCCACGTTGGGGTTCCTTTGCAGGATGAGACTGATTATTACTTTAAGCTGAGGCACAGTGGTCCTGCTCACAGGAACAAGATAGATGGGAAATGGACAAAAATAATGCGTTCTGGTCTGGAGTCTCTTTTAAAGTTAAATAATACATTCTAAATTAAAATTACTCTCTATAAGTTAGTGCTATTGTAAGTCATATTACGTAATTGCAGGTTACTAGTAGAATACTCATGCCTAGGAATATTCATACCTAGGAATTTCAGTTTAAGATCATTTCTGGATCTTTGTATATGAGTCACCTTCTCTCAACTTGCCGTTAAATATTTAATTGGCTTTGGGGAACAGAACAAAACCTGCTACCCCATTTAGATGACCATCCATGGCAGACGGAGGAACTCACGTCATTTTCATGAAAATCATAAAACAAGTTGCACACATCATGATTGAAAGAATGCAAACTGCGGATGTGGCAGATTGTTACAGTAGTGACCGCCCGTGAATCACACCTAACCTCCTAAACTGTGAGAAAATAAATTTCTGCTTGTTGAAGCCACCTACTTGTGCTATTTCTGTTATGACCCAATGCCATTGAGTGGATTCCAACGCATAGCAACCCTATAGGACCGAGTAGAACTGCACTGCAGAGTTTCCAAGGGGCACCTGGTGGGTTTGAACTGCCAACCTTTTGGTTAGCAGCTGTAGCTCTTAACCACTATTCCACCAGGGTTTCTGTTATCGTGACACTAAATAACTAAGACACGTCTGAAGGGAAATGACTACCTCTCTCAATTCCAGGGCTTCAACCCTACATGCTATGCCTATTGTGGAGGGCCAGCCAAGCAGAGTTGGACTGCCTCTGTCAGGGGAGAAGTTGCCATCACAAAGTCCAAGGGAAGCAAGGCAAAGGAGGTGAAAGAGGAGGAAAAGGCGAGACAAGGAAACTAGCAGTGCTTTTTGGTTAGATTTTTTTTTTTTTAAAGTCTGCTGGATAGACTGCAAAATGACTGCCCTACCCCCTCCTTTGCTAAGGGCCTTCCTCTCCTCCTTAAAATCATCTCTGGCCCAGGCACATGACCCAGGATGCAAAGAGTGGGTCAACACCAGCAGGAGAAAATCAGAAAAAAACAGGTTTTCACAAAAAAGATAAATAATTCAAGGGTGCTGTGCATAGGGGTTGCTGATAGGCCAGGCTTGGTCTAGGAAGTGTGGTGTGGATGGGGACTCAGGAGCAGAATCGGGAGTAGAGCCAAGGGGTCAGGTGGCATGTTGGGAAGGGAGGCCGCCGGGTATGCCTACAAGGTGATGAGATGATGGGAGACCCTGCTGGCACTGGGCTCTGGAGTCACCAATTCTGGCTTTCAGGTGAGGTTGGGTTTCTTGTAGCTGAGCTTGGTGAAGTTCAGCCATCCCAAGCAGACAGAACAAAGAGATGAGAAGGGCAGCAGGCTGAGATCCAGGACAAAGGTGTGTGACCGATAAGCTCAGAGCTGAGTCTCCACATCCTAGTCTTGCCATGAGGACAGGTAACTCCTGGCCTGGGCCCCAGCCTCAGGGAATTCCTGCTGCCTGCCTGCCTGCCAGCGGGGGGCTTGGATAAAGTTTTCAGAGAAGGAGAAAGGGGCAAAGTGAGTGCAAAGCATTATAATTTAGTTGGCTGAACTGCTATGACCACTGGCTGCCTATTCAGGGTTTAAGAAAAAGCCAAAACAATCCTGCGAGTAGCTGTTGTGGCTCCCAGACTGGAAGGGGTTTCTAGACTTGCCTGGCCCACAATGCAAAGGAAAGGATCAGATGCCCTGCCTCTGAGACCAGACTCAGTTGGGGGCATGGGGAGATGGAGCAGGAACAGACCACAGCTTCCTGGTCTGAGTCCAGGGGTTGCAGGTCACCCTCTCCAGAGCAGGGGCAGTGGTTTCCCACACAGCCCCAGATTCTTGAAGCCTCCTCAGCCAGGTCCTTGTGTCCTCAGTGTTGTTTGGGACACCCAAGGAGCTTCCCATTGTGTGGGAACATCTTTGGCAGGAGAGTGCTGGGTCAGGACACTTCCAGGGCCCCTGAACTTCTCTCTTGCCCTGTGGTGGGGGCCACCAGAGACGACTTGTTTGCTCAAGGTCTAAAGCCATGCCAGAGGATCAGGTGTGGGCAGAAGTCCAGCTCACAAGCTACATGCCAGCCTGACACCATGGTGCCTGGCTACAGTTTTCCATAGGAAGGGGCATCACTTTCTAGTTGGCACAGTGTTGAGGCCCTGCCTGTGGAAGTTTTGACCTTGTTCAGCTACCTCCCAGCTCACCACTCAGTAGAGTGGACAGGTAGGGAACCCTCAAGTTCTGCCAGCAGCCCCACTTGGTCTTAGTGATGACCCCTTGCCACACTGTGAGAGCCCCCCACCTCTAGATCCCACTCCCAAGATCCCTTGATCCACAGCACACTCAAGATCCTGTGCCTAGAAGGCCTGGGCCAACTCATCAATGACCTGCTTGTACTTAAACAGGAGATGACAGCTCAGCTTCTTCTTGTGGAAGACATCCTTGCCTGAGATGTTGGGGCCAAAGGACGTGTCCACGTGGCCCACATTGTACTCATTGCACAGGTGGTAGAGCACGTTGCTGAGAAGCCTCCAAATGGTGTCTGCCGTGGAGCTCAGCTTGCTGTGGAGGTTCTGGTCATTGGGGTTGAGGGTCTTCTGGTCCTCCATGATGTTGCCCAGGAGGGTGTTAAAGTAGGCGATGATGCGGTACAGCTCTAACAGCTTGTCCTTCTCTGTGCTGTCAGCGTGGAAGAGTGGGAAGTTTGTCAAGTCGTGGCTGCTGCACAGCTTGTCCACTTCACTGGGGAACAGCTCGCCCTGGGCTGTGTACTGAGGAACAGAGGGCAGAGGGGAGGTGAGCGAGGAGGCAGGGATCCATGTTGCAGCCCTGCCACCCATCCTTGAAGCAAGCTCTCGGGCCTCAGTTTCTTCATCTAAGGCATCTAGACCCATATCGTCACCCTGTAGACATCTCAAGATCATCATAAAAGGCAAATGGACATCTGAGTGTGAATGCAATTGGTAAAAAATCAAGGCCTCTACCATGCAAGGATTGTTATTGTTACTTAGTATTAGAAGTCCCTGGATGGTGCAAATGGTTAATGCCCTAAGGTGCTAATTGAATGTTTGGAGGTTTGAGATCACCCAGAAGTGCCTCAGAAGAAGGATATGGTGATCTATTTGCAAAAAATCAGCCATTGCAAAACCTATGGAGTATAGTTCTATTCAGACACACATGCGGTGCCATAGAATCAAACTGACTGCAATTTTTTTTTCTGTAATTATCATGATCATATGGGGAAAGAAAGAAAACCCACGTACCTCACCTTCAGAGTTGTGCCACACATATTTGCCCTTTCACCCATCTGGTCATCTCTCTGCACCCAGACACCCACCACCCACTGTCTCGCTCAACAGCACCTCTCTGAACAACTCCCTTTTCCCTCCTTTGTATATCTCCATCTGACTCTTGCTTCACGTGGTGGAGGAATCTTAATACCTGAAGTGCCAGGCCCCGCAGTTTCTGACTCCAGCTCTGGAATGACCTAACCCTGAGAAGTCCATTTCAGTCTAGGCTGGGGGTTGGGTAGGGGAAAATCTGGGTGTGGTTTAACCAGCCCCCTTCTTTCCTTCTAGCTTCAAAGTTCCCCTCTATAGTTAGCACCGTCCCCGCCCCCATCCCAGGTCAGTGCAACCTCTACTGATACCTGCAGGAATTCTGCCCACTCTTGCCACCCCAGGCCCACACCCTCCTTCCTCAGTACCCTGAGGTGGGAAGGGATATCTTACATAAAGAACAAGGAGGTCATTGGCACTGCTGTTGAGCTGTTCCAGCTGGTTCTTGATCTGGGTCATGAAATTGCTGGAATATGGGCGGTCTGTTGTGCAGGTGACCTTGTCAGGAGGAGGGCTCCGTGTCCCATGTTCCCAATGCAGAACAAGCAGCAGTGACAGGATTCCTGGGAACCAGCAGAAAGGTGCCATGATCAGGACGGTGGGTACAGCAGCTGGAGGCTCAGGTCACACTGGATGCAGTGCATCTCCACCTACAGCTCTACTGCCACCATCTCTGTCTCCCTCTACTCTATCTTGCTACCCCTGGTTCTCTCCACATGCTTATATCTCTCTCCAGGACACGAGCTGTTCCTACCAATAGGAACCTGGATCTAGGGTGACACCCAATTGTCCATTTCTTTCCCTCAAGAGGGCAAAAGCTCCCTGGCCTCCCAGCCTTCTGACTTGAGGGTACCACTCCCCATCCTGTTGGAATAGGAGGTACCTATCTACCCATCTCCCCAGATGGCTCAGATTCCTAAGCATTGCTTCAGGTACACCTGCCTAGAGCAACCCAAATCTCTCAATCTAGGCTACTGCTGGGACTACAGAGGTGGGGGGAATCCTTCACTGACCCTCTTCACCCTCCTAAACCTGCCACCTGATTCTGGCTTCCCAGGCCAATTGCCCACACCCCCCCCCCCAATTACCCATATCCTTCATCTCTGTCTTTCCCCAAATGTGGCCAACATCCCTACATTTGTTTTTGTTGTTGTTGGTTGCCATTGAGTGAATTCTGACTCATGGTGACCCATGTGTATCAGAGCAGAACTGTTCTCCATAGTATTATCAATGGCAGATTTTTCAAACGTAAATCACCAGGACTCTCTTTTGAAGAGCTTCTGGGTGGTTTCAAACCTCTAACCTTACAGTTAGCAGGCAAGCATATTAACTGTTTGTACCACCCAGGACTCCCCTTCTGCATAGTCTTTCAATTTATGGCAGAGGTGACCTGGAAGGTTCTCTTTCTTCTACCACGAACCCTGAGCTTCTTGGTCACAAAGCCTGGCACTTGGGAGGCCTTTACCAGACTTGACCAGGTGAGTGGACACATGACTGAAAGAGCATGAAGATGAGTGACCATGAGCCTCATCTCCGAATGATCTCTTAGCCTCGCATCAGCTTGGCCTGTGACCGTGGATCAGAGCTGTCAGAATGCCGCATGCACAGAGAGAGAAAGTGGCCCTTTTCCCTGCAAGAGGATGCGGGTGCCTGAGATTCACTTGGCTTTGTCCATCTCCCCTGTGGTGGGCAGCCTGGGTCCCACTTCTGGGAGCATTCCTGTCTCCCTGCTCATGGCATCCTTCCAGAAACCTTGTGAAGGAGCTAGACAAGTGTTCATTCTTTTTCCTCTCGAAATTTGGCAAATGAAAGAGCTGAGCTCACCTGAGAGAGTCAGCTACTCATGGTCACAGGACGGGATGAGGCAGAGCCAGGGCGAGGACTCGGGCACTGGGGCAGTATCCCTTCCTCCCACTGACTGAGTGTTGTTGCCTCCTGTTTGGAGGGTGACCCAGTCACCGATTCCCAGTCCTTTGTTCTCTCTGTCCCAAGGGAGGGCAAAGAACAGAACTCTTGCCCTCTTCTTGGGGACCAGAAAATTACCTAGACATGGGCGAGGGCAAGAACCCAGGGCCAGAGTGCTGGGCACCCCTTCCTCCCCGCTGGCCAGCAGTTGGGATCTGTCATTCCCTCCCTTTCTGGCCTTGGTATTTGTTTTGATTCCTCTAGTTTCCTTGTATAGGTGTTATTTGTTTTTTTGCAGATTTTCAACCTCGTATTAGATGAGTGGAGGGGATGCTGAGGATGGCTAGGTGTGGCTGTACTTGGTTCGGGATTCACTGGAGCTGAGTCTGGGGACAAGGAGTCAGAAAGAGGTAGGAGTTGGGCTCCTGGTCCTGCACTGAGGCCTCTCGCCTCTGGAGCAGCTGCTGGTGCTGCTGTGGTGATTTGCATTTGGGCAAAGTGTTAAACTGGTGAGGAGTGAGAGATGGAGTGACTTCAGGATGGCATTTCTCTGACTTCAGTGTGCACAGGGACCCCTGAAACCCTTCTAAAAGGCAGACTCCCATTTAGCACGTTTGAGGGTGGGGCCAAGTCCCTGGGTGGTACAAATAGTCAAAGTGTTTGGCTGTTAACAGAAATGCTGGAGGTTTGAGTCCACCCAGAAGTACCTCAGAAGAACAGCCTAGTGATCTACTTCTGAAAAATCAGCTATGAAAAACCCTGTGGAGCACAGTTCTACTCTGACACACATGGGGTTGCCATGAGTCAGAATCAACTGGATGGCAACTGATTTTATGATGAAAGGGAATTCATTTATTACACTAAATAACCACATTTTCAGAAATGAATATTCATGTCATAATGGAAACAAGATGTATTTATTTCCTTATTTATAGCCCTATTTTTTTCTAAACAGCGCGTAAGGCTCATACAACAGAATGCACACAATAAAAAATACGGATGAAATACATAAGGAGAATCAGATCAGAGAAGATATAAGCAGACTGATAAAACCAAGACGATAGAAATAAAGAAAATAAATGCTTCAGCTTGCAAGGGGCACAGAATTACTGTGGCCAAGCTTCAAAGTTGGCTCTGAGACTCCCGGCAGTAAAAGAAAAAAGGGAAATATGAGCTGTTATGTGATTCTTATGATCAGAAAGGAAGAGGCTTTCCTATATCTTAGTGGAAGCAAAGCCCTCCCTGAGCCTGAGATTTAAAGGGAATTTCTTTTGAGACTCCTGGGTGGGGAAGTGTGAGGAGTGAGGAATGGTTGATGTCCCACCCAAGGTGGCATCTTCCATTCAGGATTCTGGGCTGGCCCTGTGGTGGTCTTAGCAAAAACTGGTGCCCACTGTCAAGTGCAGCCCAATGAAGGGGATTCTGCAAGGGGCCAAGGTGATCCAGCAGTAACTGGGGCTTTACCTCAATCCAAGGGGAGACTGTTGAGTCCTGGGGTGGCGCAGGGGCTCAATATGCCTCAGAAGCTTCTCCGTGCCCCCGTTTTTTTTTTTTTTAATTGTGATAAAAAGTATATATAACAAACCATTTACCATTTCAACATTTTTTATATCCACAACTAAGTGGCATTAATTATCATGTTGTGCAACCATCACCACTATCCAGTTGGAAAATTTTCCATCACCCTTAACAGAAACTGAGTGCCCCCTTTCTTTCTCCCTCCGACTCCTAGTAACCACTAATAAGCTTTGGTCTCTATACTTTTGCCATTTCTACATATTTCATGTAACTGCGGTCAAATAATATTTGTCCTTTTGTGACTGATTTATTTTACTCAGCATGTTTTCAAAGTTCTTCCATGTTGTAGCATTTATCAGAACTTCATTTCTCTTTATGGTTGAATAATATTCCATTGTGTGTATATGCCACTGTTGTTTATCCATTCATCTGTTGATGGGCGTTTAGGTTGTTCCTACCTTTTGGCTACTGTGAATAGTGTTGCAATGAACATTTTGTGTGTGAGTTGCCTGCAGGTTTTAGAACCTTTTTATTGACATATAATATACTTACAAAATGTACATCAGATGACTCCCTCCCTCCTGAAAGATTCTGTGAGAGCTGGACCAAAGCCAGGGAACGCATGAGGGATGATGCCATGGGGAGGGTGGCTTTGAGCCTCTTTGCCTGCCTGGTCACTCCAGGGCCACTGGTCTGGGGCCCAAGTAGAAAACATTTTTGGGCCACTGGCTTTGGCATCAGCAGAGCCCTGCTTGCACAGTGGTTAAGTGCTTGGCTGCTAACTGAAAGATCATCGTGGGTTCAAACCTATCAGCTGCTCTGCGGAAGAAAGATGTGGCAGTCAGCTAGGGTAAAGATGTTACATTCTGCTTCTGTAAAGATTATAGCCTTGAAAACTCTATGGGGCAGTTTTACTCTGTCCTAAAAAGGGTTGCTATGAGTTGGAATTGACTCGACGGCACCGGGTTTTGGTTTTTGGCTTTGGGGTCGATAAAACTTCCCAGGCTGCCTATTGCCTTACTGGAGGACCCAGCCTGACCACCCTACATCCATCCCTTTGAGTTGGAGTAGCATTACCTGCTCAACCCTCGCTTAACTGGCCAAATATTTCAATTATGAAGACGTGGTCAAGGCCTGCCCACTCCATCTAAGCCTCAATGATGGGGGTGAAGAGAAGGTGTCTTGGGGGAGGAGTGGGCGAGGTGCAGAGGGGCAGCTGCAGACATGATGGGATAGAAGGCAAGCAGGGGTTAATGGAGAAAATGGGCCTTCTCTGCAGGCTAAGAACCAAACCACCGGCCAAGAGGAAAGTGTGTGGGAGGCATTTTTGTCATTCCAAGAGGCTTGGTCCAGGTCCTGCCCAAATCGTCAATGAATCAACGCTGGGAAAGTCTCTATCTGTCATCTGGCTTTCTCCTTGGTCCTGCTTACCATATCCCCACCCTTCACCCCCGCAGGTGGGGGGCAGCCCTCCCAGCACCCCAGAAGGACTGTTCTCTGCAGACAAGGGTGCTGTGTGTGGGGCCCCAGTGGTAGCCGTGGGTACGGGACTCTTGTCCTCCTTGGCTTACTCTTCTCATCCCATCCTAGGAAGGGGCATCACATGCATCGCCCACTGTAGTGGGATGAATGGTGGCCCCCCAAAATATAGCACCCAGAACCTGTGAATGTGACCCTATTTTGAAAAAAGAGTCTTTGCAGATGTAGTTAAGTTAATGATCTCAAGATGAGATCTCCCTAGATTATCCATTGAGCCCTAAATGTAATGACAACTGTCCTTATAAGAGACATCCAGAGGAGAGGCGTGGGGAGAAGAGAAGGCCATGTGAAGACAGGCAGAGATTGGAGTGATGTGGCCACAGCTAAGGAGTGCCTGGAGCCACCAGAAGGTGGAAGAGGCAAGGGATGGATTCTCTTCTGGAGCCTTCAGAGGGAGTGTGTCCTTACTGACCCCTTGATTTCAGACTTCTAGCCTCTAGAACTGTGAGAAGATAAATCTTTGTTGTTTTAAGCCAACCAGTTTGTGGTCATTTGTTAGGTGGCCCTAGGACACTATTATCTGTCACTTGTATCAGGTGTGTCCAAATAAGCCTCCACACGGCCCGAAGCCATCCCCTCCCCTTTGTGTCCCTGCCCCAGGCTGTTATTACTTCTCTCTTGGACTAGTGCAACAGCCTCTAGACTGTCTCCCTGCCTTGACCTCATCCCCTTCCAATCTGACTAAATCTCCTTCTAATTCCAGAAGCTTTCAGAAGCCCTGCTCAAATTGCTGAAAGGTTAAGGCCACCGCCTTCCTATGGACCTCAATCTAGTTCCAAGCTTCATGCCTGACTTCATGGACCCCCACTCAGAAGGGCCCCATGCTTGGTTTAATGCTCTGCTATTGCCATCTTGAAATTCTGAATTGTTTTTGGATAAGGGGCTTGCATTTTATTTTGCACCAGTTGAAACCAGTTGCCATTCAGTCAACTCCAACTCATGGCGACTCTATGTGTGCCAGAATAGAACTGTGTTCCATAGAGATTTCAGTGGCTGGTTTTGCAGAAGTAGATCTGTAGGCCTTTCTTCTGAGGTGCCTCTGGGGGGACTGAACCTCCAACCTTTCAGTTAGCAGCCTAGTATGTTAACCATCTGTACAATCCAAGGTCTCATTTTGCAGCAAAACAAACAAACAAAAAACCAAAAACAAAACAAACCTGTTGCTGTCAAGTTGAATTGATTCTGACTCATGGTGACCCCATGTGTGACAGAGTAAAAATGTTCCATAGAGTTTTCTTCTCTGTAACCTTCTTTACAGAAGGAGATCACTTGGCTTTTTTTTGCAGCACCACTGGGTATGTTTGAATCTCCAATCTTTAGATTAGTAGTCAAGAACAAACCTTTTGTGTCACACAGGAACCTTCATTATGTACAAGATCCTGCAAATCATGTAGCCAGCCCTGCACAGCTCAACCTCCTCAGCTGGCCTTATCCACACCCCTGGGAGCTGTCACTCCTCACTGCTGAACTGGGATCTGCATTTCAGTGCTGTCCTTGGGATTCCTGTTCATCTGAGTCTGCAAAGCACCGCAGTGCAGCACCCTATGCACAGGGCCAGGGCTTCCACACGTCTAGGTATGGATCCTGGCTCTGCACTTTCCAGCTGTAGGAGCTTAGGCAATTTTCTTAACTTTCTGTGCCTCAGTTTCTTCATTTGTCACATGAACCTCATATGGCCATTGAGAAACTTGATGAGAGAATGCTTGGCACACAGTAAACATATGGTTTAGTGTGCTGGGTCTCATCTGAATACTCACACCCCACCTGCCTCCCCTGGCTCTGCTGGAATATCTGCTCTGATCTTAATTTACTTTTAGAACCCTCACAAGCTCCCACCATGGTGACCTTCCTCAGGGAAACTCAACTGTCCTGTAGGCAGCAGAGGAGGTACCCCGGTGCAAAGTGGCCCCTCTGTCTCCCCACACCCAGCCCTGACTCTGGCTGTATCCCCCACTCAGTTCAGCCTGCTGCATTCTCTGCTTCCTACAGGAAGGCCAGAGTTGCCTCCCCTCCCCTCAGCGATCCCCAGTAGTTTCTGCTTCCCAGAAGCAGTGAACCCCTGAGGGAGGCACTGGATGAGGGGAGCCAAGTGTGAGGTCCGCCCCTGGTCAGCCCCTCTCCCTTTCCCACCTTGGCTGGGAAGATGCTGCTGAGCAGGTGCCAGTCACAGGGGGAGGTCTATTCCTCTGCTCCCAGCCAGATCATAGGCTTCCTCTACTGAGCCACAGCCAGGCCAGAGGGAGGTGTTCTCAGCCCCCAAGCTCCACTCTGTCTGGACCTCAGGACCCCTCCCTGACCCCAGAGCCCAGCAGCCTCCACGGGCTCCTCCAAGCAGGTGAGGTCATTGTCTCCACCAGACCAGCCTGACACAAAGAAGTCAGCCACCCATGTTGCAGGAATCACGCATCCCTGTTCCCTGGCCAAAAGTTCTCCTGCTCCAGCCTTGGGCCCCAATTCCTCCGCTTCATTCCTCAGAGGGACCTTCAGGAGCTGCCCTCAAACACCTGTTGGAAGAACTGAGCTGGGCTGGCTGAAAGAGAATTATGGGGCTGGGATGGGCGGCTCTTTGAAAAGACAATTCCAGGACCACCCTCCAGAGTCTGCTTTGGTCCATGAGGAGAGGCCCCAGAAGCAGCCTTTGACAGCTCTGGGGGATTCGGTGCACAGACAGGTTCTGGAACCTCTGGCTTCAAGCCTCATTTGCTGCCTACAGAACAGAGCTGCATCGCTGGCGTTTATTCTCTGCTCGAAAGAATTTTTACCACAGCTTGACCAACACGAACCCCTTTTTCTGCTCTTCAGGGCTTCCCAATAGTTCCTGATCCCAGAATGTTTTTGCCAAAGGCTTGGGAACTTGGTTTATGGCCTCTGGAGGGGTGACAAGTGGGAGTTCCCAGTTAGTTCCTCAAGGAATTTCAAACCTCTGCGTTAGTCAAGATCAGTCCTTCTCAACTAAGGGTAATTGTGCCTCCCAGGGGACATTTGGCAATGCCTGGAGAAATTTTTGGTTGTTACGACTGAGACAGGGGATGCTACTGGCATTGGGCAGAGGCCAGGGATGCTACTCAACGTTCTACAATGCACAGGACAACCCTTCTGCCACTAAGAATTATTCTGTCCAAAATGTCAATAGTGTCAGGGTTGAGAAATTCTGACCAAAATAAATCCATTGATTAATTCATCATCACCCAACCCCTAATTGGCTCCCAGGCTATGGGGACGCCGAGACAAGATCCAGTCTTCCAGAAACTGGCCATCTAGCTCATTGGGTTCTGATCTTGTTTGTCTCCAGGGAAAGCTTGGGGATGGGAGCCAGGAGGCCTTTCGTTCTAGTCCCAGGCAGGCTTCCTCATCACTGTGTGCCCTGGACTTCTCACTTCCCATCTCTGACCTTCGGTTTTTACACTGTAAACCAAGATTGGTGTAAGACAGACCATGGACTTTAGAGCCGACTGCCTTGGGTTTGGACCTGGCTCTGTCCCTGACCAGCTATGGGAACCTGGACTCATTATTTCTTTTCCTGAGTCCCCATTTCCTCATTTGTGAAGTGGGGACCCCACGTCTCACCTCACAGGGCTGCTGGAAAGATGATATGAGATAATAGATGCAGGGTGTCCAACCCAGGTCAACCATGTGGTAGACTTCTTGGACAGTTGTTCTCTTTCCTGCTTGATTCAAGGTTCACTCCAACTCCCAGAGTTCTCCCCAACCCCACTGGTCTAGGGTTGCCAGATAAAACACAGGATGCTGAAATTCAAATTTAACTGGATGCCCTGTATTTTTCTTTGCTAAATTCAGCCCACCACCTGTTTTTATAAATAAAACTTTATTGGAATACATCCATACCCATTATTTACATGTTGTCTATGGCTGCTTTTTGTGCTACAACAGAGTTGAGTAGTTGCGACAGAGACTATATGACCTGCAAAGCTTAAAACAGTATCGGGACCTTTACAGAAAAAGTGTACTGACCCCTAGTCTATGCTCTGCTTATCACAAGGTGGTCTGAAAATAATTCCCTGAGGGTGGTGGGGAGTGTGTCTGAACCCATGGAGTAACAGCCCCTTTTTTGGGGAGGTGGATAGAGGAGATAAGTGAAGAAAAGGGGGGGCCCTCTCACCATCCTTGGGACATAGCCTGGAAGAAAGTGGAAAGTGCACAGGCCCAGGGGACAGGGAGCTGGATTCTAGAGTTGGCCCTTTGCCGACTTCAAGTGGTCTTGGGCAAGTCCTTTCCACCCCACTCCCTTGACCTCAGTTCTTACATCATTTGTTCAAGAAATATTTATTAAACACCTACTATGTGCTAGATGGAGTCCCTGGCTTGTGCAAACAGTTAATGTACTCGGCTACCAACTGAAATATTGGAGGTTGGAGTCCCCTCAGAGGTGCCTCAGAAGAAAGACTTGGTGACCTACTTCTGAAAAATCAGTCATTGAAAATCCTATGGAGCACAGTTCTACTATGACACACATGAGGTTGCAATAAGTTGGAGTTAACTTGAGGGCAACTGGTTTTTATGTGCTAGGTGCCACTAGGTATTGATCCTACTCTCACGGGGCTGAAATTCAAGTTGGATAAAAGATAAAGGAGTCCACATATACAAAAGAGGTGTCAGCTGGTGATGAAATGCCCCTGAACAAATAGAGAGGGTGCTGTGACAAGACAGGGGCTGGAAAGCTGGGGGGCCTCTCTAAGGAGTGGCATTGAGCAGAGACCTGACAGAGCAGGCAGAGCCTCAGTTTCCGCATGTGTTGCCTTCTAGGGGCTCCCAGGGCTGCTTAGGGTGGGAACACTTCAGCTCTGGCCAAGAGGCAGCGTTTCTCCTAAACCCCTTTGTACAAGACCCCTGAGAGCAGCAAGTTTCATCTCACCTCTATCTGGACAGGAGTGACTGTGGGCAGCAGGATTGTCATCCTAGTGGGGGTTGGGCTGAGGAATGGGGTAAGAGGAGGGGGCAGAGCGGGCAAAGGGTGCAAGGGCCCAACCTGACCACGGCCAGCTGTTACCTCTTGTTTTCCTGTGCCCATGCCCAGGAGGAGTGTCCTGTCCATGTGTTCACAGCTGGCCTGGCAGGCCTTACGCCAGTGGACAGGCTCGGGGATGCCTTGCATCCGGAGGTGACTACGCTTTGTGAATTTCCTGCAGAATGCAGCTCAGACCCTTTGGTTGACTGGGTTACTCTTGGAAAAATGGGCCAGATGCTTGCTCCCAGCCACAAAGGACAGCCTGGGCTCAGCCCCCTCTAAGCTGCCTGACCTGTGTGTCCTCAGAGGTAGGAGACCCAGCCCAGGCCCGTCTGGCTGGGAGCTGGTGGTTGAGGGTGGTGGTATGGCAGTGGCCAAACCACACCATGTTCCTCTCGTCCCCTAGAACACTCAGCAACATCCAACCCCTGCCCCATATCCCCTCTTCCACATAGGAGCTGCCTGGTTCTAATCTTTTCTTCTGGACCAGTTTTCTGCAGGACTAATCTGGTCAATTAACTGCCACCAGCTTAAAGGACACACTGCTAGATGACACATCCACAGTTTAATCGGGGCCTTCAGTGCCCTAAGGCGAATGAGTGGCTAATGGTGGAATTCCAGGCAATGGGCCAGTCAGTGGGGAGTAAGGGCCTTGAATTATAGTGCATATGAGAAAAGCAGTCCCTTCCATGTGGACAGGGCTTTAAAGTTTACTAACTTAAAGCACATCTTACAGACATTCACTTACTTAACTGCATAATAACCCTGTTGGAGAGGCAAGTCTCACTTTAGACTTTCTTCCCTTCTCACCTTCTTCTTTCCTTCTCTCTCTTTCTTTCTATTTCAGTCCTTTCTTCGTTGTTTCCTCTCTTCCTTCCTTCCCTCTTTCCCTCCTCCTTCCCTCCCTCCCTCTCTCTGATTCTTTCTTTCATTGATTCACTCACATATTTATTCAGTGTCGGGCCCTGTGCTGGGTACCAACAACCCCAGGGTGGAAACACAAGATCCCTTGTCCTTTTACAGGAAGTCAGTGTATTCACACGCAGTATGCAACGTGACAGGTGCCAAAAAAGGAGGGAGCAAAGGAGAAACTGAGTCTCAGAGAAGTGGTGTGTCCCTGCAAGGACTGTACCCACCCAGACCTTCTGACTCCTGGTCCAGTGCTCTCTCTTCTATACCAGTGTTGCCGAAAGTGGGTTCTGCCACTCTTCATCTTTCAGGGAAGTTCACAGATGTTTAGAAAAAAATAAGACTTCACATCAAAAAAGTTTTGGAAACAAAATTAAAAAGGATGTCCTCATTGCAGGACTTGTCAGAGCCTTTATTACACTCAGGTGGAGATGGTGTGTGCAGTGTGTCCATGGATCCTTCTCAGCAGCTCTCCCAGAACATGGTCTGGGAAGTGTTGATAACTCCTTCAGTGTCAGCCACATTAAGGCTGGCACCCCAAATGAAAGTCACCCGGCTGATTATGCTCTGTAGGGGAGGGGTTTGGTCCCAAGGCCTGGCCTGATCCCCATGTGGGACCATGGGCTTCCTACCCTCCTGCACCATGACTCCCACTTAACCAAAACATTTGTTTAACCAGAATGCCCTCTGCCCTGACCATGCCCCTGGGCCTTAACTGGGCATCCTTCATTTATCCACAAGTGACCTCCTTCCAGCCTGCATAAAAGGGACCAGCTCGGGTGTCTGGGTTTGGTGAGTACGTCTGTGGTCACTCTCTGCCTCTAGGTCATTTCCTCTTACAGGGAAGAATTCTGCCCACACGCCACCACCAGCCCCCGTCCTTCCTGTGGAGTTGGCTGTCTAGATGCTGGCCGGCATCTGGCGCCAGAGGTCTGTGCATGGGGGAGCCAGGAGGGGCCCCAGAAGCCAGTTGTTTCCCAAAGGGGGTGCTCTAGAGAACCCACAGGCTTCACGGGGCAGCAGCCACACTCAGGCTGCAGAGCCAGGTGGCTTGGCTGACCACAGCAGGCTTACTAATGCCACTGAGCTGACAGCTCTACCTCATTCCCTGCTATGTGGAGGCCTAGAGATGGACAAGCCCCTCAGATGTGGCTCTGCAAGAGCCCACTGTCCAGTGGGAGACAAACGTCACATAAACACTATGCTCTTTAGGGAAGGAAAGGGGCGCTAGAATACAATCAAACAGGGAGCAGGAACGTGATGGGGGCAGGGAGGTGATGTAAGGAGGAGTTGGAATAAGCCAGGCTGAAGACCTGGATGATTACATGAAGTGGGATGATGTGACGTGCAGGTCATGGGGGTTCAGAAAACGACAGCGATTCCTGTGGTTTTTTTGTGATGAGATCATAGGATCATGGGGGGAGGAGTCTTAAAGGTCATCTAGGCCAATGGTTCTCCACCAGGGGTGATCTTGTTCCCAGGGGACTGGCAGTGTCTAGAGATATTTTTGCTTAACACAGCTGGTGGGGAGGGGAGGCTGCTATTACATTTGGTGGGTCAAGGCCAGGGATGTTACTCAACACCCTGCAATGTACGAGACAGTCCCCACCACAAAGACATATCTAAGCCAAATGTCAATCATGCCAAGGTTGAGAAATCTGCTCTAGGCTAACCTGTGTCATAGCATTTGCTCTCCTCTGAACTACCTCCTCTGATCTGCACTGTTAGGGATTGAATTGTGTCCCTCCAAAATATGTGTCAACACGACTAGGCTATGATTCCCAGTATTGTGTGGTTGTCCTCCATTTTGTGATCTGCGGTTATCATACTATGTGTTGTAAATCCTACCCTCTATGATCTTAATGATGCTAATTCATACGAAGTATTAATCTAGGAAAATTGGAAATCATCACGAATGAAACCAAACACATAGGTATCTCAGGCATTAGTGAGCTGAAATGGACTGGTATTGGCCATTTTGAATTGGACAATCATATGGTCTACTATGCCAGCAATGACAAATTGAAGAGGAATGGCATTGCATTCATTGCCAAAAAGAACATTTCAAGTTCTATCCTGAAGTACAACTCTGTCAGTCATAGAATAGTATCTATACACCTACAAGGAAGACTAGTTAATACGAATATTATTCAAATTTACGCACCAACCTCTAAGGTTAAAGATGAAGAAATTGAAGACTTTTACCAACTTCTGCAGTCTGAGATTGATGAAACATGCAGTCGGGATGCATTGACAATTACTGGTGACTGGAATACTAAAGTTGGAAACAAAGAAGGACTGGTAGTTCGAAAATATGGCCTTTGTGATAGAAATGATGACAGAGATCTCATGATAGAATTTTGCAAGATCAATGACGTCTTTATTGCAAATATCCTTTTTCAACCACATAAACGACGACTATACACTTGGACTTTGCCAGATGGAGTACACAGGAATCAAATCCACTATATCTGTGGAAAGAGAGGATGGAAAACTCAATATCATCAGTTAGAACAAAGTCAGGGCTAACTGTGGAACAGACCATGAATTGCTTATACGCAAGTTTAAGCTGAAGCTGAAGAAAATTAGAACAAGTCCATGAAAGCCAAAGTACAGCCTTGACTATATCCCACCTGAATTTAAAGACCATCTCAAGAAGAGATTTGACACACTGAACTCTAGTGACTGAAGACCAGACGAGTTGTAGAATGATATGAAGGACATCATACACGAAGAAAGCAAGAGGTCATTAAAAAGACAGGAAAGATAGAAAAGACCAAAATGAATGTCTGAAGAGACTCTGAAACTTATTCTTGAACATTGAGTAGGTAAAGCCAATGGAAGAAATGATGAAGTAAAAGAGTTGAACAGAAAATTTCAATGGGCGGCTCAAGAAGACAAAATAAAGTATTATAATGACATGTGCAAAGACCTGGAGTTGGAAACCAAAAGGAAAGAACACGCTCAGGGTTTTTCAAACTGAAATAACTGAAGAAAAAGTTCAAGCAAGCCTCAAGTTGCAATAGTGAAGGATTCTATGGGCAAAATAGTAAAAGATGCAGGAAGCATCAAAAGAAGATGGAAGGAATACACAGAGTCACTGTACCAAAAAGAATCTGTCGACATTTAATCATTTCAGGAGTTAGCAGATGATGAAGAACTGATGGTACTGAAGGAAGAAGTCCAAGCTGCACTGAAGACATTGGCAAAAAACAAGGCTCCAGGAATTGATGAAATACCAACTGAGATATTTCAACAAACAGATGTAGCCCTGAAAGTGCTCACGTGTTTACGTCAATAAATTTGGAAGACAGCTACCTTTCCAACCAACTGGAAGAGATCCAAATTTATGCCTATTCCAAAGAAAAATGATCCATCCGAATGCAGAAATTATCAACCAATATCATTAATACCACACACAATAAAATTTTACTGAAGATCATTCAAAAGCGGTCGCAGCAGTACCTTGACAGAGAGTTGCCAGAAATTCAAGCCAGATTCAGAAGAGTACCTGGAATAAGGGATATCACTGCTGATGTCAGATGGATCCTGGATAAAAGCAGAGAATACCATAAAGATGTTTACCTGTGTTTTATTGACTATGCAAAAGTATTCGACTGTGTGGATTTTAACAAATTATGGATAACGCTGCAAAGAATGGGAATTCCAGAACACTTGATTGTGCTCATGAGGAACCTGCTCACAGATCAAGAGGCAGTTATTTGAACAGAACAAAAGGATACTGTGTGATTTAAAGTCAGGAAAGGTGTGCCTCAGGATTGCATCCTTTCAGCATACTTATTCAATCTCTATGATGAGCAAATAATCCGAGAAGCTGGACTATATGAAGAAGAACGTGGCATCAGTATTGGAGGAAGTCTCATTAACAACCTTTGATATGAAGATGACACAACCTTTCTTGCTGAAAGTCAAGAGGACTTGAAGCACTTACTGGGGAAGATCAGAGACTATAGTCTTCAGTATGAATTACACCTCAACATAAAGAAAACAAAAACCCTTACAACTGGACCAATAAGCAACAGCATGATAAACAGAGAAAAGATTGAAGTTGTCAAGGATTTCATTTTATTTGGATCCACAATCAACATCCATGGAAGCAGCAGGCAAGAAATCAAGCAACGCATCAGTTTGGAAAAATCTGTTGCAAAAGACCTCTTTAAAGTGTTAAAAAGCAAAGATGTCATTTTATGGACTAAGGTGTGCCTGACACAAGCCAT